AAACTTCATCAGTCGATGGTGGTTCCAGATAATGCTTTGAAAACAGTCTTTCCCACTTCTCTGTGTTGATTTCTTCAGGCTGCATTTGTGTCGAGCCATGAATTCTTCTGTGACGTGTTATTTCAATCACACGTTTCAGCTTCAGTGTCCAGATTCAGCAATTCAATTCAGTCCAAATTATGTCCAAATTCAGAAATCCAGATTGTTCCAAATGATGTCCAAATTGTGTAATCCAATTGTTCCAAATGGTGTCCATGCAAAAGAGGACAATGGTATTATCCATGTCTCAGCAGCTCACAGCCTGACTGGAATCAGGGGCTGTGCAGATAGTCCAAGTGTGCTGGTCCAGATGCATGGTTTCTCTTGAGGTTTCTCAGTTTTGGCTTAAAAAAAAAACACTTTTTGTGTAAAAAAAAAAACGTCTGTTCTCTAGATGTTACAGACAATGCCCGCATCCTCCACCACCTGAAGAAGATGTCTGGGATCGCGTCTTTCATTCAGACAGAAGACATGTTTTATTGTCAATGGTAGAGACAGCACGATCAACAGATACAACAGAACGCAAGTGTATTATACAGAGCGGAGGCATGGAGACCTCCAATCAGCAGCTGCCACGGTGCCATGTAGCTTGGCCTTCAGATAGACAAAACAAGGAAAAAGTACTGGCTTCTGCACATTGATAGAATGATGAGTTTAACTTTAACAAAAGTTGCTTCAAAGTGTTATGAAATCTCACACTTGCTACATTTGTATGGGTGGTAGCTTCTGTGTAGTGAAGCTGAATTTATTGTAGAGTAGCTTGTAGCTTAGCTCACTACACAAATCAAGTAGCTTGCCCATCACTGCAATCACTGCATGAAAAGTGTGATTTTTGTCTCTTTTCGGCCCTGTATATTACTGTGAAACTTCTGGGATTCGGCTGTTGACGGTAGTTTGTTGTCCCCTCCTCCACAGGAGGCTTTAACATGTAAATGGCAATGCTGTGAGCTATACAAATGCTAATCAGGGTTGAGGGGGTGCACAATGCTCAACTTTGCTCAATGCTGCACACTGAATTAACTCATCTGGAATTATGTACATACCTAAAAGAAAAAGTATGAACCAACTGAAAATATGTGTTATATTCTCAGTTCAAAGTAGCACCATATATATATATATATATATATATATATATATATATATATATGTGTGTGTGTGTGTATGGCATTAAAACGGCTGTTTTAATGCCATAAAACAGTTCATTCAGTTCATTTCCTCTATAAATTAATTCATGTCATTGATGGCCTAATAATAGTGTAGTAGCCTACATAGGATACAATATATGCAGCATAATATGAATGAATATATATTTATATAAATATTATTACATTAATTATGAGGCAGGGTGACCAATAATGACAGATCTGCCAGCCAATCACGAGAGATTATACTTATTTGAAAGTAGTGATTTCATCCAATGGGGAGTAAGCTACCAATGGGGAGTAATCCCACGTGGGCTGGCCACGTGTGATTTTTCAGCCAATCACATACATATCCATTACCTACACAAAACATGTGTAGATATACCAAATTCAATTTCCATGGATATGTGAGATTTCATAACACTTTGAAGCAACTTTTGTTCAAGTTAAACTCATAATTCTATCAATGTGCAGAAGCCAGTACTTTTCCCTTGTTTTGTCTATCTGAAGGCCAAGCCACATGGCACTGTGGCAGCTGCTGATTGGAGGTCTCATGCCTCCGCTCTGTATAATACACTTGCATTCTGTGTTTGTGTTGTTCGTGCTGTCTCTACCATCAACAATAAAACATGTCTTCTGTCGGAATTAAAGACGCGATCCCAGACTTTGTCATCTTCTTCAGGTGGTGGAAGGATGCGGGCATTGTCTGTAACATCTAGTGAACAGAAGACTTATTTTTTTTACACAAAAATGTGTTGTTTTTTTTTAAGCCAAAACTGAGAAACATCAAGAGAATGCATCTGGATCAGCACATGGACAATCTGCACAGCCCCTGATTCCAGTCAGGCTGTGAGCTGCTGAGACATGGACAATACCATCGTCCTCTTTTGCATGGACATAATTTGGAACAATTGGATTACACAATTTGGACATCATTTGGACTGAATTGAATTTCTGAATCTGGACACTGAAGCTGAAACGTGTGATTGAACGACACGTCACAGAAGAATCATGGCTCGGCACAAATGCAGCCTGAAGAATCAAAACAAAGAAGTGGGAGAGACTGTTTTCAAAGCATTATCTGGAACCACCATCGACTGATGAAGTTTGGTATTTTACTGAAGATTGTTGACAAGTTTTATGAAAGATCTGAACATGTTTTATGAGTTTTCTGAGTTTTTGAAGTATTCCGAGTTCTGAGTTTTTTGAAGTACCGAGTGAAGTACCAAGTTTATGAGTTTTTGAAGTATTGAGTTATGATGTTATGTTGCTGTTTATCGATCCTGATGGTCACACGTGAATGTGTGACCAGAGGGGGGAATGTGAGATTTCATAACACTTTGAAGCAACTTTTGTTAAAGTTAAACTCATCATTCTATCGAAATGAAAGATTTGGACAACAATAAACATATTCCCATTCTGGCAAGATTATAGTCACACCTCTCACATTACAAATATGCAATTTCACAAAGTTATGTTAGGGCTAGTTTGTGTTATTAAATAACGTGCAAGATGTCAAACTCTAAAGTCTCCGACAAATGTGTGGATTGTTATATGCACCTACAATCAGTGTGTATATGGCATTTGGTTCATGCGGATCCAAGCAAAGACGGGTCTGATCAGGCTCTGGGACATGCAGGGGGTGCGCTCTGGTACCTTCCGGCACAAGTGTGCCATATGATCCTGGGTCGGGTCTCCACAACAGGCACAGGACCACAGTGTGCCAATGGTGGAGCAGCCCTGGATGAGAGACCATGGCCAGCACCGCCTTCGGCCTGTACAGCTCCGACAGGCTCTCATTCAACCATTTTAAAATAATAATCACATACATAATTTGAAGATAATTTAATTTTTTTTATATTTTCTTTTGGATGCTTTGGTCTGGCGGTCCTCCCCCTGGGCTGCTGAGCACTTCTTCTATGAGCTGCTAAACGCCTTTTTGTTACCGGTCGCTCCATTTTTTTCACTTAATAAATTAATACAATTTAACTATTGGCCCAATATATCAACTGTTTGATATAATATAGCGTTTTTTTCTTCGAACATGAATAAACTCACCTCTTCAGGAGTGCGTGTTGCAGGCCCCACGCTGTTTACAGATGCTATCATCTCTTTGCATATTTTGTTTTTTGAGCCCCTTGATGCCACTTTTTAGGATTCCAAATAGTAAGACTTTATTCTTTTTCCCACTTCGTTCACAATGGTCTCAATCTCTTGCTCCGTGAAGTTATTTTTCCTTAGCCGTTTACTCACTAACCTGTGGCAGACCCTGCGCCGTATACGTAATTACGCATATGTTTTGCCTCATTCACCTCTGGCAAACCAATGTGGGTTTTCCTTATGTGACGTGAGGGTGTAGACAAGGGAAGATTTAACAACTCCAACAACGCCAGGTGGTCTAGAAACTAACCAATTATATTGTATACTTAAAGGGACACAATTTGTGGACATAGGAGACGCGAGACTGTACTTACAAAACAGGTCACAAGTTTATTTTGACAATTATAATTTAAGTGCAGCAAATAGGCCTTTAATAGAAAATATTTTTAAAATGGTGGCAAATCAGGACACAAGAACAAAAAGAAACAAAGAGTAATGTACTGAAACAAATCATGCAATAAAAGAAAACAAACAGCAAGCCATGCAAATAAAACAAACAAAAATAGGAAGAAGTCATGCAAAAAGCATGCAAAGTCAAAAATAAGCGACACAAAATCAAGACAAACTCACCCCACAACTCAAAATAGGGGTGGGCGATATGGCCTAAAATTCATATTGCGGTATAATTTGGGACACAGACGGTAGACGGTATATATTGCGGTATAATTTTTTGTGTGAATTTCAATATAGGTCTAGCAGGTTCTTGCATAAAATAAGTCAAGATTGTTACTTATTTATATATTAGAATCTAATATATATATTTTTTGAGTTAGAAAATCAGTTGTGAGACAAATAAAGAGACAAATGTTGTAACATACATTATTTATGTATGTTACAGTAAATACCATTCACTGTAAAAGCAATTTTTAAAAAGAAAAACATATGCATTCATTTAAAATATAAAAAACTCACAAATGTTGAAATTAAAGTCTGTAGGAGTTAGACATGGTCATTATTTATAGTGTCTGAGAGTTTTGTGCAGGTACATGACTTCAGTAAAAGCTATTGTTCGTTTACAAAGCTGGTCTTGCCATTTGTTGACGCTCCCTAAGCGCTTTCTCTGCGCTTGCAGTGAACTGGATGATTCAATGGATTTATGTTCATTAAAACAGCGCATTGGATTTGAACAATTGATGTAAATGATCATTTTGGCACAATTAATTTTGTTTAACAAAGTAGCTTTCGTGAGATATTGACCGCGGAGGTCCGAATCTGACGCTAACTTTCCCAAACTTCTGCTGTGATGCTGCGGACACAGCACACGCATGGATCTATTTTGGCTCACACAGGCGCTTCGAGCCTACGCCCCTTTGACACTGATTAGCCAAAAGGTAGACGCTTAAACTGTGATTACTGTGTGTGTATTTACCTCTGCTGGGGCCGCTGTGACAACAATACATAGACAGAAACACGGTGTTAATGCCGTGCTGTTGTTCGTTGTTTCCAGTGGTGTCTGCTAGGCTAATAGTGCTAGGCTAATGCTGCTGAATGCCGGTTTGTTTTGGTCCTTTCTGCTGGCGTCAGAGCCTGCGCAATTTGATGACATAATGACCTTTTGCAATATGCCGGTGGGCCAAATTTATATCGCATACCGCTTATACCGTTTATATCGCCCAGCCCTAACTCAAAATAAACCTAAATAAACAAAAAGAAAAGTTGTTAACGAAGGTCCATGTGCCACGGGACGTGCCCTTTAAACTGGAGCACTCGAGCGCTCGTGCACGCTGCGGCCGCGTGTCCGGAGCCAGGAGGCGCTCCAGCGTTTCCAATGCGGGACAGACGTGGACAGAACAGCGGCTGCCTTTCAGAGTGGCAGCCCTGGTATGGACCACACGTGGAGAGAGCCTGAAGGACAGGCACAAATCTTAACATTGTAATTAATAACTAGACTATAGTTTTTGAGCTTACCTGCCAGTGAAAGGCACGCACTCACGGCCAGTGGGAGGAGGGGGAGAGCCGGTATGGATACCAGACTTGTCCCAGCTGCAGCTCAGGGTCTGGGGCAAACAGGTTTATGCTCAGCTTTGGCTTTGAGAGCCAAGAATTAAAGGCTGGACAATTCAATTATGGAGCACCCAAACTCACGGCAAAAGCCAAAACGTTTCTCCCACGCGCTCCAGCAGGCTCCAACCAAATCAAGCTGCCGGTAACCAAACGTGCGACCACCGCACCCAAGCCAAGACTCATGTGCGCGCATCGAACAGGCACCTGCTTTTAATGGGATCTACAACCCCAAGCCAATCATCTTTCAGTGCGGTGCACACCAACATGCCATATTCTCTCCCCCCTTAATATGTCGTCGCCCCGACGACCATTTAGCCAAAGGTTCCTGCTAAAGGCCTAACACCATGGCCGAAAGATTGCCCCTTGCACATTCACCAACCCTTGAGAGGTACCACCACGAATACGGGGAAGGTGATGCCGATTCGAATGTTGCCCAGCGGTTGTCCGTGCAGTGCGGCGCAGGCTTTGGTTATGTTAGTATTAGATAGCAATATGGCCTACGTGCAGGACTCTACAAGGACTCCATGTTATGACTATTGTGTTGCTGCTGACAGCTATGGCGATTAACTCCTCTCTCACATCAAAGACTCTGCATACATGTGTCTTTAAGCAGGTTTAATGATGCTCGAAAAGGTGAAACTAAAAGGATAGACAATATACAATTACTATATGCCTATGATAATACAAATAATTCACATCACAGTAAATAAAAGACATGTACAAGTCCACACAAGTTTGTAAAAAGATACGAACGGGACGCCATTTTGAAAGCTACGTTGTACAAATAAAGTGAGCAAAACAATGATATACACGGTTTTAACTAATCTCTAGAAGTACAACACACATATACTTGTCTTAAACATGTGAAAAAATACATACCAGCGATGCAACCTCAAAATATTTGCGATCTCAAAACGACAGCTGGAACTACGTGTCGCCATCTTTCTTTCTGGTTTTGTTGTACACAGTTCAATAAAGTTTCATTCAAATGTAACAAGTGCACTAGAATTCTTTGTCCACCAGATGGCACTATAAACTAGCGAAATTAAGGCAGGAGCAAATACACATTTTAAACTAATAAACAATACTAATTATGCATAACAGAACACTCCCCGTCTGGCATGAATAAACGCCACATATTAAAACATAGGGACTAAAACAACAACTTCTGAAATGGGCCTAGTATAAACCTTAGTACCCTCTGATTTAGCAACCTTAACCTCAACTGTACGGACTTTACCATCTTTAGAAGGAAACACTTGAGTTATGAGTCCAAGAGGCCATTGGTTTCTGGGTATCTGAGTGTCCTTGAGCGCAACGGTACTCCCAAGGGTGACATTTGGTTGGTCAGATTGCCACTTGCGACGTGGCTGCAGTGTAGGAAGGTATTCTTTCTTCCACTTGTCCCAGAATGTGTTCGATAAGTGCTGGACCTGACGCCACTGATGCTTGTAGAGATCCGACACAGAAAAGTCTCCTGCTGGTGCTTGAAGTGGAGTTCCTTTCTGAGTGAGCAGAGTAGCCGGAGTCAGTAAGAATGGATCGCTGGGGTCCACTGAAACCGGAACGAGGGGCCTAGCATTTATGATGGCCGATACCTCTGACATGAAGGTGACAAGAACTTCATGTGTGAGCTTAGTGTTTTTGAGTTGGAAAAACATTGTGTCGAGTATTTTCCGTGCAAGACCGATCATCCTTTCCCACGATCCACCAAAGTGAGAAGCGTGGGGTGGATTGAATGTCCATGTACATTCCTGTCCTTTTAAGTAGGTTTGTACGACTGTATTGTCCAAGTTTGAGGGGATTTTAAGTTCTTTACATGCACTGACAAAGTTTGTGGCCTCTGTCGAACCGAATGGTTTTAACAGGTCCTCTGATGGCCAGAAAGCGTCTGAGTCCATTAATGAAACTAGATGTGTCGAGGGACTCAATCACTTCGATGTCGAGTAATTTGCGCGTTTTCCATTACACTGGTAACCAAATATCAGCCTTACTAAAAGGATTGATCATATTTTACTTGATTTTTCTCCAATGTTCACAGTTCACCCACACACTAATTGGTAACCTTTACAATTCATGTCAAAATCAAACTTTTATATGACATAGTTGAGTTTCATTTCATAAGAGTTGGTGTGTTTCGTCTGTGGTATTTCTGTGTCAGCCAATTACTTGAAAGGTGTCTGTTTAAAGTCAGTACTTTACTTAAATTAATTAAACAATATGGGTGCAGGTATTACTTGAGTTAAGCTTTTCGGACATGCGCCATGTTCAGTTTTTACCTCATGGCTAGAGTCACTTTCTGCTGGCGCCATCTTATTCACCGGCGACTTTCAACAGAGCACTTGGGCTGTGAGGTCGTAATCCTCCATTGCACAAGGTAAGTTAAGTATTCGGTTTTTTGTTTTAATCAATTATTTTCACTCTTCAGGTGATATGCATTTCGTGAATTGTGTTAAGTGCTGTTGTTAAGTAAGGATAGTGGAGAAACGCGTGTAATTCGCCGTTGTAATTATGAGTTTGAAACAGCATTTTTAAGTATGGCCAAATGCACCTCCACTGCTGTGGTCTCCGCGTGATACAGGGGCTTTGCTCCAGGCAGCCCACCGCTGACTGCAAGGAGCTCGGGGTTCTTGGTTTTGCGCGGGCTTGTGGGAAACTCAGGGGCACAGCGTTCACAGGCGCGCAAACCTCCAGCGCGGGCTCTGGTGAGGTGGGGCCACCTCCGATTGCTACGAGGAGGCGTGGCCCAAACATCTCCGGATACCTCAGCGGACATGGTTGCGCGGGGCCATAGTATTATCCTCCGCTGACAAGTTCAAGCGGTGCTGCGGGGGCCACGCTCTTCGTAGCACGGAGAACATGCAGGGGAGGTCGGCGCGGGGAGTGGAGGATCTCCCATTGTGAGGTTGCTTGGCTCCCGCATCACAGGAGACATGCAGGGGAGGTGTGAGCGGGAGTGGGAGCATCCACTATGAGGAGCGTGGCTCCCGCATAACAGGAGGACTGCAGGGGCGTGCGTGTGCAGCGGGAGGTGGGAGGATTCCACTTGTGAGGTGCGTGGCTCCCGCATCACAGTAGACATGCAGGGGAGGTGTGCGTGGGGCCCGTAGTACATAACAGACAAAACGTTTGCATACAGACATCTTGTTTAACCAATCTATAATTATAATGTTTGGTACTCATCCGTTGTCTATAGTTTGTGTTTTTCACCCAGTGTGACAGGGAATGTTAAGTGTGCCATGAGATGTTATTCATTGTCCTTTTGCACTCTGATTTTCCTTATCATACACTGAGAATTTACTTTGTTTTTGTTTAATAAAGGGTGCGAGTAAACAGTTTTGTATCAGCTTCAGGCTGGTGGTGTGCCATGAGATTTGTTTGTTAAATTTGTTTTTAATGATTGTTTCAAAAAGGTTGGAATTGGTACCACTGGTGTATATCACTTAGTCACTTAATTTGGATTGATTAAACTTATGTATGTGTATATTTGAAGCAAACCAATTTTTTGACTAACCTTTTTCTTTCTTTTTTCATAGGAACATGACTCGGCATTCTGATGCAAGTGGCCCTGTAAGTGTTGCAATTTTGTGGTCAAAAAAGAGGTTACTTACTAAAGCATTTTCCGTTTTAAAACATGGGACCTTCACTCGATTGCGCACAATACATGTCTAATACCGCATGTCTTGTACATTTAAAACTTCAATGCACTCATACTGCATTCTATCTAGATGGTCACCAAGAAAAACAGAAAATGAGTATTTTAGTGTTTCACTCGCCAGTGTGTGACTTGGTGAACCTTGATCTGAAAAAGACTTTTTTACCATTTGCGGTGGACATATTAAAGTTGAAACAGAAAAGTAGTGGGTCCATATCATGGATTTGCTTTAGAGAGTAATGTTTCTTCAACTTTTACTTCACAGAAGCCGACTGCATCGCCTTGCAAAGTAAACCTTCATTTAAGCCTAAATAGTGTACTGGAGAAAACATCCTTGAAGGACAATCTCAGATACACCTGGACTCTTCAATTCTGCGGCTGATTAATGTGAGACGGACTGTGATATTTAACTGTTGAGATCTAGCAATGTTAAGAAACTAGAGAGGCAGTTGGAGCATAACTTGGCTGGCTTTTTCTTCAAGATGTCTTCCATTTTTTGCTATTTCTGATGTGCCACATATACAAGAAGTTGTGTAAACAGAATAAACAGTTCCATATGTTGTCACAAGACACCATTGTTACATTCAGCCTTACAAAATATGTTATAATGAGCATTGTGCCAATATTGACCATTCTATAATGGAATTAACGTAAATGACGGCCTTTGAAGAAAATACAACATGTTCTTAAGGTAGATTCAACTGGGGGATCACTGGTCAACACCAAAAAAGAAAATCTTTAATATCTGAACGATTTCCCTGTTTGTAAATCCCATGTAGAATACATCTCTACAAAAATAATCAGGATTATTGTCTATGTCCCAAGTCTTGAAATGTTACAGACCCTGATGAGCTAATAAGGACATTTTGAAGGATCGGCACATGTATGGGAAAGGACCAGAGGAGATCAAAGGACTTTCGTCTTAAAGGGATGGTTGGCGCTTCAAAGAAAACTCACTCCTAGCAACGATCCTTTTTGCATTGCCTTTGCTTTGTATCTGGTGATTGTGACGTAGCTATACCCTCTAAGGAAACCTCAGAATAAGCACAAACTTTATGCGCATTTTATGGACACTTTGCAACATTTCACCCAAAATTTTCGCTCTTCTTTGCATTTTCAATCCAACTTGCATTTGCTTTGCAAGTCCAGCACGATCAAAACAATTCGGCTACAGTAAAATTCTGGCACCACTGATTCATGACCTGGTTTTCCTTGAACAACTGGAGTTTGCGTATGATCCGTGGGTATCAGTGTTCGAAGGAACTGTGCTATTTGTAGCTGCAGGAACAAACCTTGGCAGCACTTCTTTAGGTGGTTTTCTTTGGAAAGTTTACGTTGATCAACTCTGTAGGTGCTGTATGGGCAGAAGAAGGCGAAAATACAAGCCAAAGATTGTAAAGAACGGCAATCTGCCCACACTATACCGTGCGGGACTATTGTGAGTGAGTGACTGAGTGAGTGGACTCATTCTGATGGTGATTCGGACGCTGCACACTATTATCAGGCCGTGCTGTTGTACGTGAGCGTCCCGCTGTAGCGTGGATCACGGAGCGGAGGAGAGAGGAGCGGCCATAACAAGGTAAAGGTAAAAGTTGAATTTACGTTTTAATTAGGACATAACATTTAATTGTATTAACATTGGAGGTGGGAAATAGCCCCTTCTATTGTTATATCAGAGGTCTGTTTGGTGATTAAACAGATTTTCTTTGGACTTTTTCTCCAGCCTTGAGCTCCAGTGCTAACACGCTAACCACGGGTGTAGAGCTGCGCTGATGCCCAGAATGGAGCGTCATGCGCTGGGAGTCATTTTGAGAGCTCCCTTATGCTAACAGTCTTAATTGTGGAAGTAATTATGAAAACCCAAAAAGGCGGCTTTTGTATCATACTTACTCTGTTATAACAATTGTTTTAAGAGTAATCATTAGTCTTAAAAATGTGATATTTCATGTAAATAATGCATGTGTTTAGTGCGATTGAAGGATTTGCTATGGCCCTCGTTTGTGCATCACTTAGTTGTAAAGTAATTTGTATTAAGTAAAAATGTGATAATGTGCATTTACTGATGACAGGGGTACATCTGTGAACATGAAGCTGGACACAGAAGATGCGTGGACTTGAACTTACAGACCAGATTTAAGGTCATGAGTACTTACTTGAAATCCAACAGACCTGATCATGTCAGAGTTAATGGCTTAAATGTATTTAAGATTATAAGTACTTAAATAAAAGCTATGAAACATGTTTCTTACGGATTGTGTGGTTGGATAAAACAAACGCATACATCACTTTTCATTGCACACAAAGAACTAAATCATAATTATTTTATTGTATTCCAGGTTGTGATGAGTTCACCATAGAAAAGACAGCTGTGTCAGAGGCAGACGTCCAGGCACCTGCTGTTGTTACTGCTGCTGATATATGTCTTCAGAAAATGAGAGATGTGTTCTAACTATCCATGACTTGTATTTAATAAAACAAATGAACATATTGGTCGTTGTAGTTTATATCGTAATCCACAGGAGCTGGAGGGGATGGAAATGGATGAAGAAATGATGGCCTCTGAAAGACAGCTGCCTCTGGAAAAGAAATTCACACAAAAAATCATTAATTAATCGGTTCTTCTGGGATTAAAATCAGCCTTTTGTTACAATCAGACATGTCGACATATGTTCATATACATGTACTGTCCCAGTCAAATTAATTAAAACAAATACACAGTAGTAGAGTAGAAACACGCTCTGAGGAGGAGCAGAAGTACGATGCCTTTACCAACACACATGAACACTATTCAATAACTTAACATGTTATATCAACAGTAAATGTAAATACATTGCCAGTCTTTAACAGGAGGCTGGTAGAGTGGGATTTACAAATATACTCAATAAAACCATATCTACAGTAGGTCCCATTCCGTTTTGTCGCCTTCATTCACGCTTCTCGGGAATCACGCAGCTGCGTGAAAAATAGTACATCTTATCGCCACAAGGTGGCAGGCTAAGTCCGCTTTAGCTCTGCCAGCGACTTAGACGCTCAGGTATCATACTGCGTGCAAACCTGTCTAGCCCAGAGATCCTATGTTAGCCGAATGGTTAGCATGAAAGACTGGGACCTGGAGAACCCAGGTTCGATTCTTGTCTGAGGCACATCTTTTGGTTGCTTGTGGCAAAATTGTTTTTTCATTAAACAATTATTATATAACATCTTGTCTTTAATGTCTGAAAAAATCGAGGTGAAATTCACTAGTGTTATACGTTAAATATTGTGATATGTTTTGATAAACCGAACGTTACGTTACATCCTCCGCTGCTGTGACCGCCGCTCTGACAGCTCAGTGAAAGCACTGCAGTCTGGGCTCCGAGCGCGGACCATAGACACGCGAACAGAACCACAGACAGGACCATAGACACGCGAACAGAACCACAGACAGGACCATAGACACCCGAACAGAACCACAGACAGACATTTACATTTACATATACGCAGACAGAACCCAGACAGGGGGAGACACGCGAGACGCGGATCATAGACACTTGGACAGAACCAGAGACACACGAAGCATAGACACTCGAGTCGGACAGGTCCATTTGTTTTATTTGTGTTTAAAGTTACCTAAGTTTCTCCTTGCATTAAAAATGCTTGGTGGTTGTGGATATTTAGACTGCGTGATTTGATAGAATAATACTGGCAATGTCTAATACATATCTAATTTTCAGTAAATTATAAAGTAACATCTTTTTAATCTTCTACAACATAGTGACTAAAACAAGTGTGCCATAACAGAGTAATTCAAAATTTACATGTTATATGACTGTGATGATTATGTTTGGAATGTCGATCTTTAAACCTGTTTTTCTCAGAATTCTGTTTCATAAAACCATGTAAATACGCTGACTTCAGATTATGAGAACTTTTGTTACAGACATGCTATGGAGAAAAAGAAACCAGATTTGAAAAGATATTGAAAGCAGCTTTAAGATGTGCGAGGCGAGCCTGGCCTGACTGCGCTCTCCTCCTCTGGGACCTACGGGCCACCTCACGCTGAACTTTCTTAAAAATAAAATGAAAAAGGATACTCTGTTGTGAATGTTTTGAGAGCATTGTCAGTCCTTAAGAGGAGGAATAGCTGTTGTTCTCGGGGAACGAGCTTCGCGCTGTGTGATATGATCATGCAGCTTATTGGACAAAATTGTTCAGCCAATAAACGGAACTATATTTGAAGCAACGTAGGAACGTGATGACGCTCAGGGGGTTATATTTTCTAAAAAAAGATTAGAACGCAACATTTAGTTAATAATGTGTGTATAAAAATAAAAAATATTGAAATTATGACTTTAAACAAAAAAGTCTAATGACTTGAGAGGCGAAGAAGAAAATTGGGAAGGCCAAGAAAAAAACTGGTAGGCACCGGCCTACCCAGGCCTATCCCTGGCCGCGGCTGGGCCGTGCATGTGAATGTAAAT